GCCTATGGGGCATCTGTGCTTTTCACTGTTACCATCCAGTGAACACAGGGCGAGTGGCTTGAAAAGCAGAGCAGAAGCTGGGCCCCGAGTTTCAGCTGGACTCTGCTGCGCACTCTGAACCCCCCCAGCAAGGCGGGCAGTGAGCGCCTCCTCTGTCCGCAGGTTACCACCGGTATTACAACAAGTACATCAACGTGAAGAAGGGGAGCATCGCCGGGGTGAACATGGTGCTGGCAGCCTACGTGCTTTTCAGCTACTGCCTTTCTTACAAGGAGCTCAGTGAGTGCCTCCCGTGCCCCGTGGAGGGGGGCGGGATCACTGCTCGACGTGGCAGCCCACCTTCTGGTGCTGAGGGGCCTTTACCTGTTCCTTACCTGCACTCCCACCCAAAAGCATTGGAGGGACTTACAGAATGCAGTGCCTGGGACACTGTGTGAGAAAACTGTGACAGGACATTGATAGGAGACGAGATGAAGCCAGAGCAAGGGCACGTTCTAGGAGAGACTGCAGGCTCTGCTAAAATAGGCTCGACCCCCAGCGGCCAGCGTGAAGAGGGAAACAGGCTGAGTGGGACAATCTACGCCTGTCCCGTGCTTTGAAAAGGCACTGCTGCTCCCGGCCCTGAGGCGGTCAGGGATGTCGGGAAGTGCTAGTGGCAGCCTGGGCTGTTCAGCCCCCTCCAGTCTATGTGCCAGGGCCTGCTGCCTCTGGAGCTGGCGTCCCTTTTGGAAGAGCCTGGCCAGGTAGCAGGTGGGCTTCTGAGGTGCCTTAGTACCCACAGTCTACCTGTCTGCCGGGGGGAGGGGGGGTGAGGTGGGGAGGGGCCTGGATCCTGTCCTCTTGTGTGCTTTCACTAAAACCTTTTAAGAAGCTCACCATCTTGCCTTCCTGACTTCAGAACACGAGCGGCGACGCAAGTACCACTGAGAGGCCGACGTGGAGGGCACACCCTGCATTCCTGACCTCGACCTTCCTGGCCCAGCTCCCCTCTGTGAGGAATTTCATACTGTAACTGAGAACTAACGCCCAATAAAAGATGATGGGTACGTGTGCTGCTTGCCTGGTGTAGCCACCGCCGTGTGCTCCAGGGTTCCCACTGCACTGCGGGGAGGAGCTAGCAGCCAGCCCTGGTGAGACACGGTGCTTTGACCCACAAAGCCTCAGCAGGCTCCTCACAGTGCTCACTAAGGGACTCTGGTCTCCAAAAACATTGCCCAGAGCAGAGCTGTGTTCCCTGCCATGAGTGTGTGGGCACTCTGGCCTTTGGTCAGCCCAGTGCTGGTGCTCACTGGCGTGAGGCAATGCCAGACCCACCCCTGGCCATCCTATGGCTCTGGATGGGCAATCTTGTGGGTGACTGGCTTCCTCTCCACAACCTTCCTGCATTGCCCCCAGAGAGCCCTCTGGCAGTGTTGGCACCCAGGCTGCAGGGAATATGGCCTCCTACTTGGAAACACCACGGCCCACTGCCTACCTGTCACCCGGGGTCTTCAGGTGGATGAAGGCCAGCACTTCTTTGCTGAGGCTGTATGGTGAGCATGCACACTGCACCGAGTGGGTGTGGCTGGGGTCGCCGTGCCCAGCACCTCCTAGCTGTGAATCTGGATGGACATGAGAACATCTCCCCATAGGCCTTCTGGCAGCAGCACTTCCCTTCTGAGAGGGACAAGAAAATGCTGCTACCCCAGCTTTGTGGGGGCGGCTAGCACAGCCAGTCTGAGTCTTCTCCTTGGCATGTCGTCCCTGAAGGAATGAGACACAGCTTAAAAAACAAGCTTTAATCAACTCCATAAAAATTGTTCCTGTAGTTGAACTTGGGTAGGCCCACTTGCCCTGCAGGCTGCAGGCGATGGTTTCACATTTTCCAGGCTCAGGCAGGGCGGTCTCTTCTGCATGCCACAGGTGTCCGAGTGACAGTAGCCGCTGGGTGGGCAGGAGGTAGGCGCAGGTGGGCTAGGTCAGCCATTTAAAGAGCAGTCTGCAGCTCCAGCTGAAGGTGGGCCTGAAACACTGCCAGGCAGGTGTCCCAGGAGAATCTCACCTGAGAGTCCTGCACCCTCGCACGTCCGTGGTGGACCAGGGCCCGGCTGAGGCAGTGAGTGCACTTGGCTGACCCCTCCTTCAAGTCACACGGACAGGCACAGCTTCAGGGTTCAGCAGGACACCAAGGAAGCAGGCATGACCTGGCTACGGCTCTGAGTGACCCACCTGTCCCTGGGGTCACCAAGAGCTGGTGTCTAAGGAGGCACTGAGGGAAAGGCCATCCTCCCAGCAACTCCGCCCCTTACCCTCCCCCAGTCCCCCGGGGGTGGGGGGTGGTGGCAGGAAGCCCCAGAAAGGTCTAGACAAACATGATGGCGACTTAGGGGACCCAACTGAAGCGCATGTCCCTTTTTAAAAACAGATTACAGCAAAATGATAGGAAATGAACAGACGTGGCCCCCCAGCACCTGCCTGCCAGCTCTAGCCAGGGTCGCACCGCCACTGCACTGAGCAGTGAAACGCACGCTCCCAACAGCGGGGCCCCTCGGGCTGCTCTGAGCTGGCTCCGCCTGCTGTCACTGTCCACTGAGAAAGGCCAAGTGCCCTTTGGTGCATCTGTTGGCGTAGTGTCCTTTTTCACCACACTGGGAACAGCAGGGGGGGAAGGAGGAGACAAAAACACAGTTTTTGAATGCACTTTTCAACAGGCAGCACCTACCAAATACCAGACTGGGGACGGGGCTCCGAGGTTCTCCGTGTAGAGTTCCCTTCAGTCAGGAGGGAGAGGCAGGTCAAGGAGGGTCCCGCGGCAACAGTTACCCTGCAGCCAGCAACCCAGCGCATGGAGAACAAGGCCACCATGGCCTGTGCTGGCCACTGGGCATGAAGTGGTGGCACGGCAGCCCAGTCACTTACCTCTAGGGCTCCCTGGCAGGGCGCAGGAGGGAACAAGTGAGAGAAGCCAGCAGGTGCTCGCCCCAGGCTGTGCCTCAAGTTTGACCTCCTGGCCCTGGCACTTCTAAGCTACCTGGGGGAATTGTTCACCTCTCCAATCTGGCCCAGCCGACTTCCCCTGCCTGGTTACCTGGCCTTTCCTAGCTTCTCTTCATTTCTAGTGATGTTTTCAGAACACACAAGGGAACCACAAGGAAGCAAGCAGCAGCCTCCCGCACCCCCTCCCTCCTCCATCTGCCTGCAGTGAGTGCGTCTCCATCACTGCCTAGTGCACTGGGCTGTTCCGTTCCCCTTGTCCAGCAGGCCTCGTAGTTTTGAGCTCGGTTTGCGGGAGTGGCCCAGGGAGCTGCCAGTCAGCCCTTGAGCTGATGTGACGACCAGAGGGAGCCAGCACAGCCTCCACAGCTGACCCTGAGGACCCAGGTTCCTGGACATTCATGGAGTGACAGCTGTGGTAAAGTCGGGTGCCCCAAACCTCCCGCCTTTCTAAGATTCGAGGCCTAGAGGTGGCCTCACAGAGGAAGCCCTGCTGGACATCTTGGGTGGGGATGGGGTGAAATGCCGGCTCTCCCTGCGCCGTGGAGGCTGGCTGTGCTCCTCACAGGCCAGGGCTCAGCCCAGAAGTCCCTAGGGAGACTCCCTAAATGCACACACCCAAGTTTCATTCATGCAGACTCCTCCGAGGAAAGAGCCACAGCAGGATCCAACTTCTCGGCGGAGCCGGGGCTCCGTGAATAACCTGATGGCCTCCGGAGTGTCCCAGGACGCAGCCTTTCTGTTGGGCAAGTTCTAGCAAGGCTTTAAGTAAGCCCTCGGACTCAGACCTGCCTCTTACAGGCATGGCCTGCAACACCATCGTCAGACAAGATTCCAGAAATGGCCAAGTGTCAGATTCAGCACCGCCATCAGCAGCACAACTGTTAAGCGTCTACCCACAGAGCACTGGGAAGTGAGCTGTGATCGCTGTAACGCAGTCGCTGGAAGAGATCACATTTCCATACACTGCTATGGAGGCAGCCGCAGATATTATAAAGAGATTGCAGAATGCTGTGCACGCCAGGGCTCTGTACTAAAATCGCTATTAGACTTGAATTTGTGTGAGGAACGGTAGTTTCTAAACGTGGCGTGGGGTCCCTGATGTGTTCTCCTTTAAGGGAACCAAAGTGTGACACCAGAACTCTGAAGGACAGTACTCACTGTCCCCTACACAGGGTAGACGGTCTTGTACAAACCCTTTACCAACAGCATGTACTAATCCCGTATTCTATGTTTAGAGGCCCGGGAGCTGCGGGCTCTGTGGGTCTAGTTCTGCGGGCTCTTTCTGTGACTCACTGGTGGAGCTTGTTTCCCTGTATTTGTGACTTTTAGTCATAAACTCATCCTTTGGAGCCCTTAGCTGGGGGAACTGTGTGTGGCCTGGCTGACAACATACTCCTCAGAGCACTGGGGGTCGCTCCTGCCACGTGCATGCCACCCCGGAGTGACTGAGCCCTCACCGGGGTCGTGAGCACAGGCCCCAGACTCACAGGAAGCCAGACAGCACCTGCACACTCTCCAGGGATTTCCCCTCCTTCCCACCCAGAGCAGGAATAAGAAAAACAGGTTTTCTAGTAGGTTCTTTAAGTTCACTCTTTCCCTGTAACATCTCATTTAATGTATGGGAGATGGGGAACAGGAGGGGTGTTCTAATCCAGGCCCCCCCACCCTTGCGGGCCCCACTTAGTCCTGTTCCCTTGGGTGTGCCCACGCAGGATCCAAGGCCTCCAGGGCCTCAGGGCCACTGCCTGGACTGCTCTCCCTGTTCCTAGACTGCCCGCACTTTCTTCCAAGCGCAGTGCACCTGGCAGCACGTCATGCTGTCAGTCACCTTGCCTTGGGCATGGCGGTAGAAGCAGCTGGCCTCCAGCCACCACAGTGGCCCAACTTTACTCTTACGGTCGGCAAAAACAAAGAGGTTTTCATTTTGCAAGATGCACCATGCACCTCGGGAATGAGGGAGAGAGGAGCCCAGCCTGCCCCCCGCCCCGACACTCACCTTGTAACAGGTGACCTGCTCCAGCGGCCGGGGTCCCCGGTTGCCAGCACTGCTACTTTGACTCTGCATGACCCCGATGACCTGCGGGGCTCTCTGCTGATTGGGAGAAGAGTTCTGACTCGTTAACTGGATCAAGGAGGACGACCTTTGTAATGGCGGATTGTTACTTTGCTGGAAAGAGTTACACAACACGGTTTTACTGCGGAAACCACGTGCACGCAGACTACCGATGGGGTCAGGAAAAAAAGAGGGCGGGACTAGTCCCGCTCAGCCAGCAGGAAGAAGGGCTTCCGCCATGGCCCCTCTGCAGAGGGCAGAAAAACAGCTGGTGATGATGGCAGGAGCCGCTGCCCGAAAAACACCATGCAGACAGACAAAAACGGAAAATAAAAGTGGAAAACAAAACATCAAAGAGACGAGAGGAGGTCTCTGGGCAGTGGGGCGAGGGCATGGTCAGCCTTACTTTTGTTTCTGAGGTTCTAGCTTCAGGTCAGGATGAACGCTTGGTTCAGCCAGATGTTTAGCGGCCTACACGGCGAGCAACAGTCACAGAGAAACAGTTGGAGCCTGCCACGCTGCCCTGGGGTCTAGGGGCTGAGAGGGCCCTCCTCCAGGGAGTCACGCAAGAAAGAGGGGGCGGGGGCTCCTGGCTGGGGACTTGACAGGCCATCTCCCAGCCAGCTGGGTTCCTGGCTCGGACCCCTTAACTGCAGGCTCTGGCCTAGGAAACCCCCAGGCAGTCACAGCTGCGTTCAGAGCCGCCCCACAGACTTCGGTGCGACTGGCAGCAGCACCCAGGGTGGGGCTGAGGGGAGGGCAAGTGCAGCTACACCTGTCACTGAGCCTCCGGCAGCCGGCTCAGACCCAGCGGGTCCGAGGTGAGGCTTCGGGATCAGCAGGCGACTTTGCTGGGTGAGCCTCTCAGGGGCCTTGTCCTATACCCAGGCCAGGCCTTCTGGGGCTCCCACAACTGGGTACCCTTGGTTTTGCGGGGTGGGGGGCTGCTGCAGGACCCCACCAGTCTAGGGCATTTCCGTCTCTTGCTAGAGGGGCAGCCTAGCTGCGTGGTAGTGGAGCCCCTGCCTGGCAAACTGGAGCCAGCTCGTCCTCCCGTCCCGTTCTCTGCGCACCCTCCACTGCCGGTGTGCAGGACGCTGCACAGGAGCAGCGAGGACACGGCCAGGGAACAGAGAACAGCAGGCCTCGGTCTGCTCCCACCTCTGGCCATCCAGCAGGCTTCGCTCTGGCCTGCCGTCCCCCCACACCAGGAGTCCGTTTCCTTGTTTGTGAAGGACAGGCTCAGACCCAGAGACCAAGCGGATGTGAGGCCCAGTCCTGAGCAGCCGGTCCCACGCCACCTAACCCCACCTGCAGCCTGCTCTCGGCGGTTCTAGGCTGGCCAGGCAACAGGAGGCCCCGTGGGAAGTCAGCTCCCGAGGGACACGCGCTGCTCTGCTCCCCGAGTTTTCTGTGGGGATGTGGGAGACTCCCCTCCTCTCCCACGGTGCCCAGCCATGTCTGTGGCAGGCTGCACATGGAGGCGCGGGCCGAGGAGGCGCCAGGCACGGTACCTTGCTTGGAGGCTGTGTCTGCTGCGGCAGTGGGGGCTGCTCCGTGGTTCCCATGGGCAGTTCAAACCGAGGGCTGGTCACCCAGTAGCCAGGGGGCAAGAGAACAAGAGAAGAAGAGCCGATGAGAGAGGACAAAGGTCAGCCTGTGCTCCCAGTCGCACCCAGCAACGCCTCGGCACACATGGTGACAGGAGCACAACCGACAGTCCTGGGCTCAGGCCCAGCTCTGCCCACACTGTGCTAGGAGGCCGGGGACAGTGCTGCTCCGAGACAACATGAATGGTGGGGCCGGTCTCGGCAGCAGGCACGTGCCAGCCTGCACCGTGGGCTCCGACTTCAGTGTCAGCACGCGTGGGCCATGCACAGAAGCTGTGGTGACTCGCCTGGCCCACAAGCAGGAATCCCTGGACCACGCACTGGCTCCTGGGCTCTCAAGTCTGGAGCCACGGTGAGGCAGAGACCAAGTGACTGCTCCTGTTGCAGGCTGAGCAGCACGCGGAAGCAGGCGGGGGATGAGGAGGGGTTTTCTGCAGTCCCAGTGTTACCCCAGGCAGAAGCCCTCAAGCTGCCAGTGTGTGAAATGGGGACGTTCTCTCTTCCACACTTGCTGGAGTGACCTGCACTACTCTGTGTGTGTGACCTCGAGCTGAGGACTTCCAGAGGAGGCCCTGAAACTAGTCCCCTTCCTGTGGGGCACGGAATCTTCATTGTGGTCCCTACGCTCCCTAGGTGACATGTAAGGTGCCGTGTGTGTGTGTGTGTGTGTCTGGAGCACGCAGTCTTCACCTGTGGTCCCTGCACTCCCTAGGTGACATGTAAGGTGCCGTGTGTGTGTGTGTGTGTGTGTTGGGACCATGGAGTCTTAACTTGTAGTCCCTACGCTCCCTAGGTGACATGTAATGTAAGGCGCTGTGTGTCTGTGTATGTGTGTGTGTGTGTGTGTGTGTGTGTGTGTCTGGAGCACAGGCCCAGCCCTCATCACATTCCCAGATAACGCGTGACCCAAGGAAGGTAAAGTGCGGGTCTAGACAGAGTCTCCTCTCGGCTCGGGAGGAAGCGGTGGTTCCTCCCCTACCTCCCACCCTCATGCTGACAAAACCGTGACCCGTGCTCAGCTGGACCCAGAAAGACACTGAGGGCAGCCGGAGGACAGCAGCGAGGGGTGGTGATGGTGATGGTGATGGTGATGGTGATGGTGATGGTGATGGTGATGGTGATGGCAGCGCTGGCTACTCACTGCATGAATTTGCAGGAGGGTCCCTCCGGGCAGAATCCCACGAGGTAATTCACACAGATGACTCTCCGCGTGTGCCGGTGCCTGCACAGGGGACCTGCAGAACCAAGTGCTGCGTCACACACACATCCCCTCTACCAGCCAAGGCCCCACCCACACTGCCGGGATGCAGACAGCCAGAGTCCGGCTCAAGTGCAGGCTTTGTATCTGATTCACAGGGGGCACGGGCGGGGCCTCGGCCCCTCACTGGTCTCATCAGAGAGGCAGGCGAGAACAGGCACGAGGCGCCTTCCAGCGGCAGGTCAGGGTTCGTGCAGTGAGGGCTGATGTCCCCCGTCACCCAGCTGGCATGAGCTCTCCCGGGGTGCCCCGCCCACTCCGGTGCCTACCGTGCTTGCAGAAGCCGCGGTCATACCAGGGGCAGTCCTTGATCTTGGACTCGGGGTCGATGTGCAGGAAGGGGCACTCCTTGTTGCTGCACTCCCCTGCAGGGAAACCCAGGCATGAGGCTGCTCCCGTGGCCAGAGGGGCCAGGCGGCTCTGGTGTCCAGCAGGGGCCTGGTGAGCCCTGAGGCCGAGGCCGAGCTTCTCTGGGCCTCCGTCTCTCACACACGTCAGTACTGCTCAGGGGCGGGCGTCAATGACAGCGGCAGAGCCTGGCCAGGGCACCGACTCCCCGAATCCAGTGTTCTGCCTCTCACCCAGGCAGAGGGAGTGGACAGTGAGGGGGCCTGGCACGCAGCCGCATTCACTGAGCGCAGGAAACCACCGTGCTACGGGCAGTGGCTCGCTCCATCTGAGAGCCAGGACGGCAGGGTCTGAAGATCTCCACCTTTTAGGACCACAGCAGGAATGATCTGGGAGCCGGGGGCGGGGTCCCCTGGTGGCAGGTGCTCAATGATGGTGATGATGGCACCCTTCAGGGGCAAACGGCCTAAATGGCTCCCAGCATCAGCGCCACCTCCCCGGTGCCCGTCCACCTCCAATCCATGTTCGCACACCTGGCTCACAACACAGAGCAAAGGCAAACTCCTGCCCCAACCCCCACAGGCTCAGCACCCGCAGCTGGCCTCAGTTGGCCAGGACCAACCTTCGGCCAGGACTGGCCGCTTCTTAGCCTGCAGCTCCGGGCTCACATCTCCTCCAGACGCCGCCCTGGCCACTGAGCCCGAGGCAGGTCCCGCCGTGGAGCCGCCCCCCTTCATCCCCTCAGGCCTTTCAGGTGGCAGTTTCTCAGCGGCCTCACTGGCACAGCAGCTGCCTCTCTCCCAGGGCCAAAGCCCCAGGAGGCAAGGACCGAGTCTGTCCTCCCTACTGCCAGGGCTATGCCGCAGGGGACGGGAGCCACAGGCCCTGCAGCTGCTGGAGGGTGGGATCTGAGAAACCTGGGTCCCGTTTCTGTCTGCTTTGACTTCTCAGCTATGTCCCCTCCACAAACCAGCCACAACTATGATGAGCCAGCAGGCCACGCCTGGGGTGCTGCAGGAGGCGCACCCAGTACACCCCAGCTCACTGCAGCCTCCACAGGCTCCCTGCACAGGACCTGGGGCCAGTGCCAACCCTTGAGCTGACCCACGGTGCTTCTGGGATACCTTGAACAGCAGAGAGGAACAGAGACTCTGGGCACTCGTCTCATCAGGGAGTACAGCAGCGCTGCTCAGCTCTGCACCAGGCAGCCCCCCTGCCTGCGTCTCAGGGCAGCCCCTCAGGACAGCTGCGGCCACGTGCTCTATAAGGCCATCTCAGCCTCACGGTGGAGAACGGGGCTTGCAGTCGCCTGACCCACGGCTCTGAAGGGCTCAATCGGATGCGGAGCTTCCCCAGGGTCACGCTCCCAAACAGAAGGAAGCAGCTCAGTGCCGGGGGTGATGAGGGAACGCACCCCAAGGAGGAGCAGACTTCAGCGAGAAGGCGGCCAAGTGGAGCAAGGCCTTCAGCCAGCAGCACTCCTGTTTGCTCACCGGAACCCTTGCTAGCCTCAACATGCCAGTCCCTAAGTACTCAAAGTGCTCCACACTCTGGAGTACTACAGAGGCACGAAGGGGGTATCAGAGAATCACCATGACACCTCTCACTGAAGAACCAGAGGTGGGGGGGGGGCTCTCAAGCACAAGGCCCTGGCAGGCGCTGCCTACGTTCAGAGCTGCAAGCTGGAAGGATGGGAGAAGGCAGACAGAGACGCTGCGGGCCTTGAGCTGCCACCTGACCCCTCTGGGTCTCGGTTCTCGACCGAGCCTCCCAAGGTTCCACGGGCCTCACCGAACTTGGAATAGAAGTAGCACTCGGGCATCTTGGTCATGTCGTACTCGTGCAGGAACTCGCACTGGTCCCCTTTCTTGCACAGCCCACGCAGCCAGTGTTTGCACACAACTGTCTTCTCGCCGCTGATGTGGCGGAATGGGCACATGCCCCCTGCCAAGGAAAAGGGAGTGGCGTGAGGAGAGCAGGGGAGCCCTGGTGCCTGCACCCCACACCTCCCTGAGCCACCTGAAAGCGGCACTACCTGGAAGGGGCGGAGGTGCCCCTGGCAGAAGACAAGGTGACTTTAGGTAGTGCTCTGGGGCACATTTCAAATTTCAATAGTTGGGGGCCGGCGCTGTGGCACAGTGGGCTAAGCTTCTCCCTGCCGCACCAGCATCCCATATGGGCACTGGTTCTAGTCCCAGCTGCTCCACTTCCGATCCAGCTCTCTGCTAATGGCCTGAGAAAGCAGTACAAGATGCCCCTGCACCCACATGGGAGACCTGGAAGAAGCTCCCGGCTTCTGGTTCTGGCCTGGTCCAGCTCTGGCAGTTGCGGCCATTTGGGAAGTGAACTAGGGGATGGAAGACCTTTCTCTCTGTCACCTCCTCTCTATCTGAAACTCTACCTCTCAAATAAATGAATAAAATCCTTTAAAAATTTTTTCAACAGTATTTTGAGATGTTCTAGAAAAATATAACTAGGCCGGCGCCGCGGCTCACTAGGCTAATCCTCTGCCTAGTGGCGCCGGCACACCGGGTTCTAGTCCCGGTCGGGGCGCCAGATTCTGTCCCGGTTGCCCCTCTTCCAGGCCAGCTCTCTGCTGTGGCCAGGGAGTGCAGTGGAGGATGGCCCAGGTGCTTGGGCCCTGCACCCCATGGGAGACCAGGAAAAGCACCTGGCTCCTGGCTCCTGCCATCGGATCAGCGCGGTGCGCTGGCCGCAGCGCGCCAGTCGCGGCGGCCATTGGAGAGTGAAGCAACGGCAAAGGAAGACCTTTCTCTCTGTCTCTCTCTCTCACTGTCCACTCTGCCTGTCCAAAAAAAAAAAAAAAAAAAAAAAAAATATATATATATATATATATATAACTAAAACATCAAATGAAGATTTCACAGCTGTCACTGTAAGATGGACACATAACAAAACTAGGTGCAGGGGGAGGTAGTTTCTTTCTTTAATTAAGGGATAATTCCAGGGGTCACAGACTGGAGCTTGGGAAAGTCTAGAGGAGAAAGAGGGCCACCAGCAGAAGCCTGGACTCCAGGTAGGCTCCACTGCCAGTTACGAGTGCCCACTTAGCCTCCAAGATGAACAAAGATGAACTTCAGAAGTGAGCCAGTGTGATGAATTCAAACAGCAGAGGTGTGCCTTCTGCAGCAGGACCCGAGAGGTCATCGGTCCAGGTGAGCTACCCCCAGCACGTCAGCGTCCAACCGGTAGCCTGGCAGGACCACGGAGAAGGCCTAACCAGAATGAGGCTCTGTGACCACCCTGGCCCAACAGAACTTCCTACAGGGATAGACATGTTCTCCCTCTCTGCTGCGCAGTATCACGGCCACCAGCCACACGTAGCCACCGAGCACTGAAAACATCACTAGTGTAACAGGAAATGCATTTTGCATTTGACTGAGTTTTAATTCATGTGAGGCCTGCGCAGCACACGTGGCGAGTGGCTGCTCTACTAGTTCGCGGCGCCCTGAGTTACGGACGGCTGTGCTCAGGAGGGCAGAATGACTGTCAAGACCCGGGAAGGAGATGGGGAGCCCAGTGTGGGGGTGTCCTGACCGCAGAGCGCGACGCCCACCTGGGGCATCAACGTGCAAGGTCTGCTGCTTCCGTGGCACGTCCATGCGGCAGAACCCAAAGTCAGCATGGACGCCGTCCCCGGGATGCTCCTGATTCAAACTCCAGATCCCAGATAAACTTCGCTACGGGGAAGAGTGGCAAGACCCGTACACGGGTGACGTCTGGCTCTGCGGCCTGTGGGCCCGGTTAGTGCGAAAAAGCCCGACCCCTGCTTTCTGCAAAGGCAGATCATTAATGGTGGGGTGTTTTGCTAAGAAGCCAGAGGACAGCGAGCCTATGAAGACGGTGGAATCAGAAATGTCTGGGTTCAGACATGGGGTTCAGGCCCAGAGTAACTCTGTGACCTTAAGAGTGTTCCAAAAACACCTCAAGGCTCTGTCCCTGTCCCGGGTCAGCCCATGGCTCAGGGAAGAGGAGGTCAGCAGGCAGCCTCAGAGGAGGAGCGGGCCAGCGTTTGGGGGCGCCATTAGTCTGCAGAACGCAATGCTAGCCGGAGCCCTGGCGGCCCTCAAGTCTGCTGGCGGACGCGGTGACGGAAGATCACCTCGGGGGCGTCAGGGGGCGGGGATCCCTTACCTTTGCCACAGGCAGCTTTCAGGAAGAACTCGCAGACAGCAGCTCCGGATTCTGTGGGGAGGAGAGGAGAGGAGCGGCATCAGCCAGTGCTACATCAGCACAGCGCACAGCTGTGCTGGGGACGGCTAAGGCTACCAGGGAGGAGGCCGGCGCCGCGGCTCACTAGGCTAATCCTCCGCCTTGCAGCACCGGCACACCGGGTTCTAGTCCCGGTCGGGGCGCCGGATTCTGTCCTGGTTGCCCCTCTTCCAGGCCAGCTCTCTGCTGTGGCCAGGAAGTGCAGTGGAGGATGGCCCAAGTGCTTGGGCCCTGCACCCCAAGCACCTGGCTCCTGCCATCGGATCAGTGCGGTGTGCCGGCCACAGCGCGCCGGCCACTGAAGCGTGAACCAACGGCAAAGGAAGACCTTTCTCTCTCTCTCTATCTCACTGTCCACTCTGCCTGTCAAAAAGAAAAAAAAAAAAAAAGCTACCAGGGAGGACCCTGTTCAGTCTGACTCATGACGGGCTCAGGGGGAGGAAATGGAGTAAGGAGACCCAGCCGAGCAAGGACAAAGCTGCCTGTTTCCGTCCTACCCGGCAGGTGAGATGCACACAGTGAAAGGTGAGATGCACACAGTGAAACCCAGGCTTGTCGAGAGCTTCCTGTCCACAAGTTCCTTCCAAGGAGTTAAGAGTGGGTGGGGGAAAGAAAGTTGGCACACAGGGTCACAGAAATGAGCTAATCCCCCCGCTCAGCGCTTCCAGGAGAGCTACTTCACAGGCAGAGGGGAAGATGGGACAGGCAGCACAAGCAAACGGGGCCTGGGGGGAGGGACTGGGGGCCTCGGGACACTGGTCAGGGGGCAGAGCACAGGCAGGAAGGCCCTGGGTACGCGGCATCCACATCGCTGCTGAGGGGCCCAGCCTGCATTCCCACAGGTGCAGCGCAGGGAAGTCGGGGGGCTCGGGGCCGGGGTCTGCGAGTCCAGGAATCCACTGGCCATGGCTAGCAGATTAAACGTTCCCTGGGCTCATGAAGTCTTCTCTACCAGCAGCCATTTCAGAACCGCTGAAACCCACTGGCAGCCTCTCTGGAGCGGCTTCCTTGGCTTCTCAAAACAGGCAGACTGTGCCGGACAGAGCTAAGGTTGTAGAACTTGGGGTGCCATTCTGTTCGCATCTCAAAAATCTGAAAACCTTGCATTTAAAAACATACCACTGGGGCCATTGCTGTGGTAGTGGGCTAAGCCTCCGCCTGCAGTGCCGGCATCCCACATGGGCGCCAGTTCGAGTCCCGGCTGCTCCTTTTCCCATCCAGCTCCCTGCTATGGCCTGGGAAAGCAGTAGAAGATGGCCCAAGTGCTTGGGACCCTGCACCCGTGTGGGAGACCTGGAAGAATCTCCTGGCTCCAGCTTCTAATCGGCTCAGCTCCAGCTATTGTGGCCATTTGGGGAGTGAACAGAGGATGGAAGACCTTTCTCTCTGTCGCTCCCTCTCAAATAAATAAATAATAAAATCTTAAAATATATATACCATTTAGGAGCAGGCGTGGCACAGCAGGTTAAGTGGCCACTTGGGATGCCCACATCCCATGATCAGAGTACTGGGTCAAGTCCCGCCCCTCCACTTCTGATTCAGCTTGCTGTCAATCATCCTGGGAAGCAATAGATGATGACTCAAGGACTTGGGTCTCTGCTACCCACGTGGGAGACCTAGATGGAGTTCCAGGCTCCTGGCCTCAGCCACCTGGTCCAGACCCGGGCTGCTGTGGGCACTTGGGGAGCAAACCAGCAGATGGAAGACCTCTCTTTCTCCCTCTGTTGCTAAGTCTGACTGAGGCTCAGGCAGATGGGATAAGGAGCCTGTCTCAAGGGCAGAACGGGGTTCTTCCCAGCACTGGGATGGGGAAGCAGCTCAGGGAAGGTACGCAGGGCACGTGAGCACAGACACGTGGGGAGTGCTCGGGCTGCCTGTGTCCCGGGACAGCCCCGTGGGGCCCTGCCCCCACCCTCACAGGCTCCTGGATCTGTGTTGCCAAGCAGGAGTAGGATGGTCCCATGGCCTCAGACCAGTGCCCCTGAGACACGAAGAGACCAAGAGTGAGAAATGAGAAGCTGCATGTGAGTGTGTGCGCACCGAGAGGTCGCAGACAGAGGGATCAGGGGGAGCGCCCGGGGGACTCTCCTTGGTGGTGGTCAGAGGGGTGGGTGGGGGAGCGCCTGGGGGACTCTCATCAGTGGTGGTTGGAGGGGTCGGGGAGCGCCCGGGGGACTCTCATCAGTGGTGGTCATTGGGGTCGGGGAGCCCCGGAGGACTCTCATCAGTGGTTGGAGGGGTCCGGGGGGGGGGGCCCCCGGGGGACTCTCCTCGGTGGTCGGGGGGGCCCCGGGGGACCCTCATGGGTGATCGGAGGGGTCGGGGAGCCCCGGGGGCTCTCCTCGGTGGTCGGAGGGGTCGGGGAGCCCCGGGGGCTCTCCTCGGTGGTCGGAGGGGTCGGGGGCCCGGGGGACTCTCATGGTGGTCTCTTGGGCGTGCCCTCGCTAGCAGAGAGGCGGATCACGTGGGTGTGAGAAGGCTGGGCTGCCTGAGGGCAGTGCTGCTGCTGGCAGCTGCGGGACACAGCCTGGCTGTACGTGGGCTCCAAGTGCCTTCTCTACCCGGGGCCTCCGTTCCCAGTCCGTGACGTGCGCTTTACAGTTGCAGATCCGAAGCAGGTGCGCAAACGAGAGGAGATAAGAAAACTGCTATGTCTTAAAGTCTGCGCTGGGAGGTGGAGAAGCCAGGGGAAGGAAGAGGGTTAATGGGGGCTCAGGTGCCCGGGTGCGATGTTTTCCCGGGGACCAGAGAAAAAGTGGGGGACAAGGCCAGACTGGAGATGCGCTCCCAGGAGAGCGAGTCCTAGGAGCAGACGGGGGTTGGCTGGGGGTCTCCTACAGAGGGGAGGAGGCCCCTTCCTCGGCAGGGCTCCCCTTCGGACCCAGTGCGGCCGCTCAGCGAGTGGGGCGGGAGGCGGCGGGGCGCACAGCCCAGGACTTGCTCGGGGCTGGGGTTGCCGACCCAGCGTGACTCGCCCTCATTCCAGAACTACACAAGCACCGCCCGAAGTGGACCTCAGAGTGGCCCCAGGGGTCCAAAGACCCGAGAAAGTGCGCACGGTGGGGGGAGGGAGGGGGCTCCGGAGTCCGAGGGAAGAAAATGGGGACCCCGGCCCCCGGCAAGCAGGGGTTCCGGGACCGAGAGACAGATGTCCCGGAGCGGAGTCGCTCTCGCCCGCCCGCCCCGGCCCCGCGCTCACTGTCCATGCCGGGGAAGGGCAGCGGCTGCGCCCCGAGCTGCTGCTCCACCGCGATCTCCAAGTCGAACTTAATGTGGTCCACGCTAGCGATGATCTCCTGCATGGCGGCGGCGGCGGCCCCCCGGCCCGACTTCCTCTCAGGTCTTTCGCTGCCCTCACTCCTCCACCCGCCGCCGGCCCCAGCCGCACGCAGTCCGCCTCCTCCGCCTCCGCCTCGCCGCCGCCACTGCCGCCACCGCCGCCGCCACCACCGCGCGAGGGATGCCGGGAGCGCCCGAGCCCGCGCCGGTGCTTTTGCACGTCCAGACCCGGCCAATCGAGAGCGGAGGACGACCGCTCTGCCAGGCCCGGCTAGCCGCCCGCCGAACGCAGCGCCTCCCTTCCCCTCGCCTGGCGGGTAAGCCGAAACCCCCGCGCGTGGGAGCTTGCGACGACGCGGACTGCGCATGGGCGAGGCTCCGCGGGGCGCGTGCTTCTGGCGGAGGGTGACCCACAGGGGAACCGGGCCGGTTCGGCACGCGGGACTGGGCCGCGTGAGGCCGGGTCCCTGGGGCCTGGGGCCCCCGACCCCTACGCTTGGGAGTTCCCGTGGGTCCTCACAGCGGCCCGGGGACCCGAGCCTAGGGAGGCCCGGGGGCGTCGGAGGAAACCGGGGTGAGAGGGGGCCGGGGTGACCAGGGGACCGCGCGAGCGTCTGGGAATGCGGGGTCCGAGGGAGGACGGCGGCCGCGGGGCTCTCAACCCCGGGGGTTTTTAACCTGGTGCGTTAGTGGACTTGGGTGGGAACAAAATTGCCCTTTTTATTCGTTTTCTCGATGTGAGATCGAGCATTGATTGCATTTAGTTGATTGACAGAGCAGCTGGGGTAGGGCCCGAAACCGTGTCATTTCGAGGGGGGCTGAGGGTCCATGCAGCTCGCTCACGCTGGAAAACCATGGGGGGACACAGAGCATAGTGTAAAATGCCTCTTTCTATATCGTAGGTATTGTTTTGCCGATTCTATGTGATTTATTTTTTTTTTCTTTTTTAAGATTTATTTATTTATTTGAAAGAGTTACAGAGAGAGAGAGAGGCTTCCATCTGCTGGTTCACTCCCCAATTGGCCGCAACAGCCGGAGCTGTGCTGATCAGAAGCCAGGAGCCAGGAGCTTCTTCCAGGCCTCCCACTCAGGTGCAGGGGTCCAAAGACTTCTACTGCTTTCCCAGGCCATAGCAGGGAGCTGGATCAGAAATGGAGCAGCCAGGACTCGAACTGGCGCCCATATGGGATGCTGGCACTGCAGGTGGCAGCTTTACCTGCTATGCCACAGCGCCGGCCCCTATTTTTCATGTTCACGATCATTGTTTTCATACTTTTTTTTTTTTGCCAGCAGAAGTTAGCAGAGGAGAGACAGAGAGAAAGGTCTTCCTTTTCCGTTGGTTCACCCCCCAAATGGCCGCTACGGCCGGCACACCGCGCTGATCCGAAGCCAGGAGCCAGGTGCAGGGCCCAAGGACTTGGGCCATCCTCCACTGCACTCCTGAGCCACAGCAGAGAGCTGGCCTGGAAGAGGGGCCACCAGGACAGAATCCGGTGCCCCGACTGGGACTAGAACCCAGTGTGCCGGCGCCGCGGCGGAGGATTAGCCTAGTGAGCTGCGGCGCCAGCCTCAAGTCACTTTTTAACAGTATAGGTCTTGGATACAGTTCTGAGAATATAATGATATTCCCTGCCTCCCACCCTCCTGGTAACCCTGTGTGTTTTAACTAATGCTTGTCAGGAGTGGAGGCCTGTGGGATGCAGACAAGGGCCGCTGAGGCCGTCTGCACCGTGTCACTCAGGTACTGGTCTGGAGTGTCTAATGCGTGCTCCTGGGTTCAAAGCCAGCCCCGCACCAGCCCCGGTGCTGGTGGCCCTGTGGCTGCAGGACGGAGCAAGTCTCTTCCCCTCACTCCCTCTCAGTCATTAATGTGTTCAGTCCGCCAGCACCCTGAAGTCTTTGCAGTGTGACCATCTCACATAACCAGGCCTTAAAATATTTTCCTGTTAAATGCCTGTAACAGCTATGACTGGGTCAGGCCAAAGGCAGGAGCCCCCAGCCGCATCCAGGTCTCCCAAGTGGTTGGCAGGGACCCAAGTACTTGAGCTGTCACCTGCTGTTCCCAGGAGGCTGGACTCGGAAGCAGAGCTGGGACTTGAACCAGGGATTCAGATATGGGATGTGGGTGTCCTGAGTGGTGACCCACTGGTGTGCTAAACCTATGAAAGAGTTTCATGTGTGCAGGCCAGAGCCTGGAGCCCAGCACTGTCCAGGGGAAATACAGTGCAATCACAGCTATAACTTTGAATGTGTAGACACATTAAATTAAAAGGAAAGTGTGAAATTAACATTAATCATATACTTTAGTTAACCTACTATAGCTGAAATACCATTTTCACATGTGAGACAGTTATTTGTATTTTGCATTCTTTTTGTACAAAGACTTTGAAGTCTGGTGTGTATTTTACAGCACATCTTCAGTGCAGAATCTCAAGTGCTGTGTAGCTGTGTGTGGCTGGTGGCTGCTGTACTGGATAGCACAGCGCTTCCCATTTGTCTGTGAAGTTTCAGAAAATGAATGCTCTGGTCACTTCCCTTTGCTTAGGCCTTACATTTTTTGAACACCTATTAAATGCCAGGTATTGTGCTAAAAACATCTTTTTTTTAGAAGATTTATTTATTTATTTGAAGGTCAGAGTTAGAGAGAGAGAGAGGTAGAGAGGTAGAGAGAGGTCTTCCTTCTGCTAGTTCACTCCCTGAATGGCTGCAACTGCTGGAGCTAAGCCGATCTAAAGCCAGGAGCCAGGAGCTTCCTCTGGATTTCACATGTGGGTGCAGGGGCCCAAGGACTTGGGCCATCTTCTGCTGTTTTCCCTGGCCGTAGCAGGGAGCTGGACCGGAAGTGGAGCAGCCGGGACTCGAACCGGCTCCCACATGGGCCGGTGGCACTGCAGGTGGCAGCTTTACTCGCTACACCACAGCGCCAGCCCCAGAGCCTGCTCTTGGAAGCACTCCTCTGTCCTCTTTCTGCTGCTTGTCACTGGGAACCCTGCTTGACTTCCTTGCTTTCCCTGACACGTTCCAGGCCCTGACGGACAGGAACGGCAAAGATGGACCTCAGGAGACTCGCCCAGCTCTTCCGTGGCCCCCGCGCCCTGGGGCTGTCCCTTCTGCAGCCCCTCGGCCCTATCAGAGGCGGGGGGCAGTCGGTGTGGCTGAGGACTGCGCGGCTCACTCGCCTGGAGTTAGCCACTTCCTACAGCTCCCTCTCTCAGCTGCCCCTGGACCAGGGGAGGCAGAGGAGCTCGGGCAGCGCCCGCTCCGGCCTGAGCCAGCCCAGCCCCACGGGCGCTCGGGAGGAAGAGGAGGAGGAGCCCTTCGGGACCCTCTCCGACAGCTTCTCCTCCAGAAGGATGTTCCGCAAATCTACAGCCCAGCTGTATAACCTCCGGCTCCGGGAACAGAGTGTTGAGGAAGATGAGGATCTGGAGCCCCAATCCTGGCAGGGCCGGAGGAACACTCCACGGTGGTACTTCTTCCGGTGCAAACGCCTGATCAGGGAAGGCAAGGTGAGGGGGCTTCGGGTCTGCCGCGCCTCGCCTCTGCGTCCCTGTCGGCTTGGTGTGTGGTGAAGGGCCAGCCGTACCTTCCTGGTCTCCAGGTGTCGGCCGGTGCTGGGATCCATCTTCACTCTCCCTGGTGACCCCCAGCCCGGGCTTCACGTATGCTGCCCTGGCCACCCTCTACTGTGGTTTCCGCCTTCCTGCCTCCAGCCCTGCCTTCCTGACCTGTGTAGCCAGGTTCCTCTTTGCTGTCTCCCAGACGCTCATGGTTGTCGGCAGCTACACAAAGCCAAGCCTGAAGTTTTCCTTCCCAACTTTGTTTTCCCCACATGTCTTCATCTCACTGTGTGGCAGCCCCATCATTCCATTTGCCCGGGTCAGATGCCTTCAGTCAGGTCCTGCCTGCTCTTTCTTACCAGCTCTAACTCAGAAATGTCCCCAGCCCTAACTACTTCTCACACCTGTCCCCCTGAATGCCAGGCTCGGCCTTCTCCTTGTCCCCTCAGCCGTTAGGACCCTGGTGCCTGGGCTCGCTGCTTTGCGTGTCACGGCACATGGATGTCCTGCTAAGCAGAAGGCGGGTCACATTGATCCTGTCTCCAACATTTCTAGTATATTCAGTGATTTTAATGTTCATTTTCTTAGGTGTTGATAATGGCATTGGATTTATGTTTTAAAATCTCTTACAAATATATGTTGAAGATCTTTTGGATAAAGTGATAGGATGTCTAGGATCTATTTTTTTTTTAAAGATTTATTTATTTCACTTCAAAGTCACAGTTACACAGAGAGAGGAGAGGCAGAGAGAGAGAGAGAGGTCTTTCATCCGCTGGTTCACTCCCCAGATGGCTGCAACGGCCAGAGCTGTGCCGATTCGAAGCCAGGAGCCAAGAGCTTCTTTCAGGTCTCCCACGGGGGTGCAGGGACCCACGGACTTGGACCATCTTCTGCTGCTTTCCCAAGCCATACCAGAGAGCTGGAATGGAAGTGGAGAAGCCAGGTCTTGAACCGGTGCCCATATGGGATGCCAGCACTGCAGGTGGTGGCTTTACCTGTTATGCCACAGTGCCGGCCCCTCTAAGATCTTTTTTAAAAAGTTTGGGGGCGGCGTTTGGCACAGTGGTCAGATTAGCACTTGGGACATCTCACATCACAGTGCCTGGTTGGGGTCCTAGCTGGTCTGCTTCTGATCCAACTTTCTACTACTGCACACCTTGGGAGGCAGTAGATGATGGCTCAAATACACAGGTCCTGCCACCCATAGGGGAATCTCAGATGAGCTTCCGGCTCCTGGCTTCAGCCTGGCTTCCTGTCCTTGTTGTGGGCATTTGAGGAGTGAACCAGCAGATAGAAAATCTGTCTCTGTCTCTCTCTATCTCTCTGCCTTAAATTAAAATGAAAATAAATACCATGTTTTAAAAAAGTACGGAGGGAGGGGCCAGTGTTGCAGCATAGTGGGTAAAAGCTGCCACCCATATGGGTGTTGGTTCAAGTCCCAGTTGCTCCACTTCTGATCCAGCTCCCTGCTAATGTGCCTGAGAAAGCAGCAGAAGATGGCCCAAGTGCTTAGGCCCCTGCACCCAAGTGGGAGACCTGGGAGAAGCTCCTGGCTCCTGGCTTCCACCTGGCTTAGCCATGGCTGTTGCAGCCATCTGGGAAGTGAAGGAGTGGATGGAAGTTCTCTGTCTCCCTCCCCTCTTCCCGCCAACTTAGACGTTGAAATAAGTAAGTTTCTAAAAAAAAAAAAAATTGTGGCAGGAGAGCATAGGCTATGGGTGAAATAAGATTGGCTGAACATTAACGATCATTATAGTAATGTTCACTCTACTTCTGTGTACATTAGAAATTTTCTGTAATGAAAAGTTAGGAATTAAACAAAGAGAAGCGTAAGTTCTCACAATGGCTTCTGAAGCGTTGAAGCTGTGCTGACAGCACCCTATCACTTCTCTGCCCTCGTCTGTCCCCTCCTTTCCCTCCGCTGTTCATCAGCTTCCAGGCGCGGTCCTGCCTCAGGGCCTTTGCATTGGCTATTCCCCCAGAGAGCCACGTGGCTCCCTCCACCTTCTCCAGGTCTTTGTTCAAATGTCACTCTCTGGGTGAGGCCCTGTCTGGCCATATCGAAAAGTGAATCCCATTCTTCCTGATTATTTGTTCATTTATCTGAGAGGCAGAGAGAGACAGACCGCTCCCATCTGCCAGTCTACTCCTCAAGTGCCCACAAGGGCAGGAGCTGGGAACTCAATCCAGGTCTCTGACGTGGGTGGCAGGGGCTCGAGTCCTTGCGTTATCACCACTGACTCCTGTGGTTTGCTTCAGCAGGAAGGTGGAATTGAGAGCATGGCCAGGACTTGAACCCAGGTACTCTGATAAGGGATGTGGGTGTCCCAGGTGGCATGTTAACCTTAGGCTAAACCCTCACCCCATCATAATGTGTGTGTCTCTGTGTTTAAAGATTTATTTGGAAGACAGAGCTACAGAGGGATCTTCCATCTGCTGGTTCACTCTCCAAATGCCTGTAACAGGCAGGGCTGGGCCATGCTGAAGCCAGGAGCCAGAAGCTCCATCCTGGTCTTCCCCATGGGTGGCAGGGGTCCAAGTAACTGGGCCGTCTTCTGCTGCCTGCCCAGGTGCTCTCGCTGAAGCTGAAGCTGAATCAGAATCAGAGTAGCAGGGACTTGAAATGGCACTCCAGTATGGGTTGCTGGCATTGCAAGCAGTGGCTTAACCCACTGTGCCACAACACTGACCCCAAACTGTAGATATACATAAATGTACACAAACATATATATATATATAAGATTTGTTTATTTACTTGAAAGGCAGAGATACAGAAAGAAGAAGGGAGAGAGAGAGACATCTTCCATCTGCTGGTTCAATTCCCAAACGGCTGTAACAGCTGAGACTGGACCAGGCCAAAACCAGGAGCTTCTGGGTCTCCCATGTGGGTGCAGGGGACCAAGGACTTGGGCCACCTTTCACTGCTTTCCCAGGCACGTTAGCAGGGAGCTAGATGGGAAGTGGAGCAGCTGCGACACGAACCAGTACCCATATGGGATGCTGGCACTGTGGACAGAGGCATAACCTTCTGCACCACAGCGGCTGCCCCCTGTATATTTTTATTGCTTGTCATTTGATGCTAGAATGTGAGCTCTGTGACCTTGTGTAGACCTTGTTGGGCTCATGATAGGACTCAATAATTCTCGTTCGAATGGACCAATGAAAATCATTAAGGAGCAAAGGAGAGAACTGAGGATTTCACCGGAGCAGTATAGGGGTGGGGATGGGACCAAGACAGCTCTGGACCCTGGAGGTTTAGAGGAAGCTCCCCCACCCCGGGCTGTTGTCCTGCACTGTCGCAAAGTGTCCCGTGGCCTCCCCGACCCCTAAGGATGGAGACAGACTGCTCCCTCCACTAAGGGTCGCTGAGGCTGTCCTGAGCCCCACCGTGCCGCCCCTTCCTCCCCAGCTGGCAGAGGCCCTGGACCTGTTTGAGAGGCAGATGCTGAGGGAGGAACGACTCCAGCCCCTGGAGTGCAACTACACGGTGCTGATCGGCGGCTGCGGCCGGGCCGGCTACCTGAAGAAAGCCTTCCGGCTCTACAACGACGTGAGTGTAACCCTGGGCCTGCGGCTCTGAAGAGCCTGGGCTGCGAGACCAGAGCGAGCAGGTGCAGATCCAGGTGCCGCCTGCCGCACCTGACAGCGAGCAGGTGCAGATCCAGGCGCCGCCTGCCGCACCTGACCCCAGCCGGGCGATTTCAGCCCTTGGCCTCAGAGTCACCATCTGTACAACGGAGGTGCTGGTCGGGATGAAGTGAGATGATGCAACCAGTCCTGCAGCACCTGCCCGGCCCTCGTGGGTCCCCCCCAGCCCCTTCCATTTCCACCAGGATGTCCAGTTGGTTCCTGTTCCTTTCTGCCTCCCCTATATGAGCCCACAGAGGGACCCAGCGCCAAAGCTGGTCCTTTGAAAAAGGGCTTTGATTCCTCTTGGAAGTCCTCTGGGGTGTGTTATTTTTGTCCTACTCAGAGCCAGGAAGCTGTCTCCATCCTGAGCTGGGGAAGTCTTGCCTGGGGGAGGTTGAGGCGGGGTGGGGGCAGACTGGCGTAGTCTCCTGCAGCCAGACACAGGGTGGGCCCTTCACTCCAGCAAGGGCTCCTGGGAACTCCAGTCCCCTCCACACCCGGCACACTTTGGCCCTGGGCTGTTTGGGCAAGAGGGAGAAGGTGACGCCAGGAAGTGGCATGGCGTAGGAGGACGGGAGGCTTCCCTGGCCAGCTCAGGCCCCAGGTGAGGGGTGGTGGGGCTGTGTACCGCGACCAGCCGTCTGGGAGCGACTTTTTTCAAAATAAACTTTTTACTTTGGACTAATTTTACTTTTGTAGAAAAGTTGTATAGATAGCGTAGAAAGTTCCCGAAGACCCCTCACCCAGCTTCTGCCAATGAACACCTCAGGCCATCATGGCGTGTTTGTGGAAACCCGGCAGCCAGCAGCCAGATGCTGCTGCTAACTAAACCCGGCTCTATTCAGGGCTCACCAGCTTTCCCAGGAAAGCTTCCCCCGGCGGCTCCTCCACACAGCGCCCTCTTAGCTGATCCCCGCGACTGCCCACCCGGGCGGCCCACCAGCGGTCAGTCACACTGCGCTCCCTTCCCCGGGGCAGAGCTGCCCTGTGGGCCCTGGACAGGCCTGAGGATGGAGACTTCGGGAGGACCCTGCCGCACGCACAGCGGGTTGACAGGCACCCAGGGGCGGATGGCTTCTTGTTGGGCTGTCTCAGGCTGTTTGGTTTTTCAAAGTCCCTCCAGCAGAGCTGGGCTTGAAGACCAGGCTCTGAGGCGCCCCCTGGGGTAGCTGCCTGCTCGTGCACCGTGCCGATCTCCGAGCCACCCCTAAGTTACTCTCGTCTCGGCAGATGAAGAAGCGCGACCTGGAGCCCTCGGATGCCACGTACACGGCCTTGTTCAACGTCTGTGCCGAGTCCCCCTGGAAGGACTCCGCCCTGCAGAGCGCCCTGAAACTCCGGCAGCAGCTCCAGGCCAGGAACTTCCAGCTCAACCTGAAAACGTACCACGCCCTGCTGAAGGTGGCTGCCAAGTGCGCAGACCTCAGGATGTGCCTGGATGTGTTCAAGGTGGGGACGCCCCTTCCTCCTGCCCCTCCCACACGGGGCCGGTCCCTGTGGCAGCTGCAAGGCCCAGCCCCCTGTCTCCCCCGCCGTGGGCGGACAGGGAAGACCAGGGGACAGCCGGGCTTGGGGCTGGGGCTCGCAGAGGAAGATCCTGCCTTCAGAGGCCTGAGTCTGAGAAACAGGAAGTTATGTGTGCTGCTGGGTGCCCTGAGTGGGGCTGGGCAGGGGAGCACTGAGCAGGGAGGGCTTCATGGAGGAGGTGTGCACAACCTGAGTGTTAAGGAGCTGTGGGCATCAGAACCCTGGATCAGGGAGCTGAGGGGTCCAGGCTTGTGGGTGTATGGGGCTCCAGGAACACAGGTGGGGACAGGCGTGGGACGTGGAGCAAGTCCACCTGGAAGGGGCCGGTGCGTGGGACGTGGGGCAAGTCCACCTGGAAGGGTCCGGTGCGTGGGACGTGGGGCAAGTCCACCTGGAAGGGTCCGGTGCGTGGGACGTGGGGCAAGTCCACCTGGAAGGGTCTGGTGCGTGGGACGTGGGGCAAGTCCACCTGGAAGGGTCCGGTGCGTGGGACGTGGGGCAAGTCCACCTGGAAGGGTCCGGTGCGTGGGACGTGGGGCAAGTCCACCTGGAAGGGTCCGGTGCGTGGGACGTGGGGCAAGTCCACCTGGAAGGGTCCGGTGCGTGGGACGTGGGGCAAGTCCACCTGGAAGGGTCCGGTGTGTGGGACGTGGGGCAAGTCCACCTGGAAGGGTCTGGTGCGTGGGACGTGGGGCAAGTCCACCTGGAAGGGTCCGGTGTGAGGGACGTGGGGCAAGTCCACCTGGAAGGGTCTGGTGCGTGGGACGTGGGGCAAGTCCACCTGGAAGGGTCCAGTGTGAGGTATCCCAGGGTTTCAGTCTGTACAAGGGAAATTTGTAGATCAATGGGATTAGGAGATAAGTTTATTTGGGCGCAAAAAGATTTGAAATGCAAACATAGGCTTTTCTTTTTTTCATGATTTTTTGAAGATTTAATTTATTCATTTGAAAGGCAGAGTTTCAGAGACAGATCTACCTACTGATTCACTCCCCAAACGGTCACGTGGCCAGGGCTGGGCCAGACCAAAGCCAGGAGCCCGGAACTCCATCTCGGTTTCGCACATGGATGGCAGGGACCTAAGTACTTGGGCCGTCTTCCACTGCTGCTCAGCACATTAGCAGGGAGCTGGGTCCGAAGTGCAGCAGCTGGGGCTGGAACTGGTGCCCATCTGGGATTCTGGTGTCACGGGTTGTGGCTTAATCCCCTGCGCCACAGTGCTGGCCCCCGTAGGTTTTTCATAATAGGCATTTCCGGAGCACTTTCCTGCACCTCTCACTGTCCTCTACTCCCTCGCCACCCCTAGGGAGGGTGCGTTACTCCCAGGTCACAGAGCAGGAGAGCGCGACGAGGGTGAGCAGAGGACTGGAGCAGCTCCAGGTTCTGTGTGAGGTTGCACGGAAGTGGGCAGATGCCAGTTCACGCCTTACAGGAAGCTCGTCAGGGAAGGATGCTTGGGAAGCAGGGACGGCTCTGGGGGCCCACGCCAGATCTCAGGAGAGCTGCAGCAGTGCCAGGTGCCGTGTGCCGGGACCACCTTGTTGTCATGCTAGCCCTTGGCCCAGTAGCTGCCTTTGGCTCTGCGCTCTTAGGGTCTGCCCCCATGCTGACTCCGTGCCTTTCTCTCTCTGCTCCGCCCCTGACTGGCAGACCCTTTTCCCCACTGAGCCTATCAGGTTCCCACCTGCCCCCGCCAGGAGACTGGACTTGGCCACCAGTCCAGTCCCTGCATGGTGATGAGCAGCCCAGATAGCCTGGCCAGTTCTGGCTGGGGAAGCAGGCTTGAGCCCTCCCTGGAGGATGAATCTCTCCGACGATGCTGTCAGGGCGTTGCCCGAGGCTTCTGCAAGGGGACAGCGGCTGACAGCCTCTGGGTGATGTGGCCCAGCTGTCAGGTTAGTGTGGGCAGGTCACCATGGCTGCGGCTGTCTCAGAAGCGAGAGCACACTCCAGAACTCGCTGAGGCAGATGGGTTGCTGCACAGGAGGCAGCCCTGGGGTGGGGGAGGCAGGCGAGCAGCAGTTGCTGGGCTGGGGAGCCCCTGGGCTGACTGGAGGGACAGGGGAGAAGCCCCTGAGGTGCTGGGAGGTGGAAGGAGCCAATCCCAGCATGCCCGGGAGGGGCCGTCGGGAGCTGGCGCCGTGAGACTGGCTGTACGTAGCTCCATGCTGTCCTAGGATTGTTCCAGAGAGCTTGGAAGACTCCCTGGGACCCCACCCCCAGGTGAGGAAACAGCTGGCCAGTGGTGGAGCTGACACTTGAAGCCATGTCCTTGAGAGTCCAGAGCCTTGAGTCCAGAGGCAGTCAGTGCCATGGGGTGGGCCCTGCTGAGGGGCTGTGCAGGCTCACTGAGCGCAGGGCCGGAAAGAGAGGCCCAGTGCAGAGCGTTTGGGTTGCTCTGCTTGGGAGCTGGTTCCAGCCCCGGAGCCACATGTGGGCACCAGCTCCTCCAGATTCCAGACTGCAGGCTGGTGTTGTAGCACTGGCAAAGCCGCAGCCTGGGCGCAGGCATCCCGTAGGGCACCGGTTACTGTCCTGGCTGCTCCACCTCCCATCCAGCTCTCTGCTAATGCTCCTGGGAAGAGCAGTGCAGGATGGCCCCAAGTATTTGGGCTCCTGCATTCTGTGTGGGAGACCCGGATGAAGCTCCTGGCTCCTGGCCTCAGCCTGGTCCACCCTGGCTAGTGTGGCCATCTGGGGAACGAATCGCAGGTGGAAGATCTTTATCTTTCTTCTATCTCTGAAAGTGACTTTCAAATAAATATATATTTTTTTAAAAGATTATTTGAAAGAGCTGCAGAGAGAGAGATAGGTCTTTCATCTACTGGTTTACTGCCCAAGTGGCCACAATGGCTGGGGCTGGGCCAGGCCGAAGCCAGGAGCCAGGAGCCAGGAGCCAGGAGCTTCATCTAAGTCACCCACATGAATGCAGGGGCCCATGGACTTGGGCCATTCTCCACTGCTTACACAGGAGCATTAGCAGAGAGCTGGACTGGAAGCAGAGCAGCCGGGTCTCTGACTGGTGCTCATATGGATGCTGGCGTCGCAGGTGGCAGCTTCATCCGGTACACCACAATGCTGGCCCCATAAATAATTATTTTTAAAAAAGATTGCAGACTGGTCCTGCCCTGAGTACAGCAGACGCCAGCGGCCTGGCCTGGACTCTGCTGCAGGTCCTCAGTAGGGCCGCTTTGTTTTGCTCCCAGGAAATCATCCACAAGGGGCACACGGTCACAGAGGAGACCTTCAGTTTCCTGCTCATGGGCTGCATCCAGGACAAGAAGACGGGCTTCCGGTACGCTTTGCAGGTCTGTGCCTTCCCCCACCATCCCACCTGCTCCCGCCACGTGCTGCGCCAGGGTACAAGATGATGTTGCTGTGTGCATTTCCTGAGCACCTCCTGCGGCCCTGTGCCGGCTGTTCTTAACATTTGTGACCTGTTGACCTATCAGCGGCCACGCAGAGCTGCTTCCGTTTTACTTACTGCCAAGAGAGGCGGCCTGCAGGGGCCCGGAGGCTGCCCCTGGGTGAGGGGGCAGCCAGCCCACACCAGTCCTGCTCTGCTGGGTGGCCTTCTGTGCACCAGCCTCCACCCTGAAAACCTGCAGTGCCCGTGCCTGGGGTACTCATTCAGCCTGACCCCCAGACCCCATCTCCACTGGGATCTGCAGGTGTGACCCAGGGGTCTCCGTTCACCCCACGAGCATCTCACAGACACTCGAGTTGAACACGCTGCTCTCATCCCCAGGTAGTCGCCCTCACCACGTGAGGTGTTGGTGTTTGCACCAGCCCCACAGCTGCCCTCCAGGCCTCTCAGAGCTCTCTGAAGCCTCCCACAGTGTGCCCACCAGTGCGCCCTGTGCCCCGCAGACCGGCAGCACCAGCCCCCACTGGGAGCTGCAGAAATGCAGGATCTCGGTCCACCCAGACCTCTGTGTGCACATCTGCGTTTTAGCAAGATGCCCAGCGTGCTGACTGTATGATAGGGCGCTGATCGGAGTGTGAGTCCCCGCGATCTGGGGCAGCCTGGGACCAGGCGCTCGCCCTGCTCCTGCGGAGTCCGGGGAAGCAGGGGCCGGCCGCCCCGCTCTGATCCTCACACGCTTCTTTACGGTGAAAAGCCAGCCAGGGCCTGGCTCTTCCCACACCTTGGCCCTCCGTCCATCGTTAGCAGTCATGCGTGGGACTGGTGGCCGGTTTGTGTGAGGTACTTAATGAACTGCCCAGGCCAGGCGCCAGTAGCCTCATTCTGAGGTTCGCGGAGGTGAGGTCACTTGTCTGAGGCCCGACAGCCACCAAGGGGCAGAGCTGGGACCTGAACTGGAGTCTGTCTTTGCTGCTGCTCTCTGCTGCTGTGGGACAGAGTGGGCATCTCTGCCAACGCTGCTCTCCCCGCCATTGCTTGGCCTGCATGGCTGACAAGCCCTTGCCCTCGAGACCCTGAGCTGGTGGGCAGTGGTTCTCTTGCAGGGCCCACTCATCTGGGGCTGGGGTCCCAGTGGGCACTGGGGAGGTGCTCATGGATCCCAGCCTTCAAGGTCAGCCTGGACTTTTCTGGATCCTGGCCTCCCTGGGGAGCACAGGAAGGGTGGCAGGGGTCCAGGGACCCTGGGGGGAGGGCAGAGGGTGAGGTTGAGACAGTTTTGGGGTGAACTCAAGGAAGGAAAGGTGGTCTCCCAAGAAGTTCCGGAGTTCTGACAATGCTTTGTTGCCAGAGCCTGGTGTAGGATTAAACATATTCCGGAATCTTCCTGCGCCTTTTGCATTTGCTGGCCTGACTGCTGACTCCAGTGCCTCTCTGCTGAACTGTTCGGAGGCAGGAGCGCCCACTGACGTTGTCTCTCCCCATGCAGGTGTGGAGGCAGATGCTGAGCCTGGGACTCAAGCCGAACCGGCACGGCTATAACCTGCTGTTGGGGGCAGCCCGGGACTGCGGCCTGGGGGACCCAGAGGTGGCCTCTGAGCTGCTTCTAAGGCCCAGGGAGAAAGTCCTGCTGCAGCCCCCAGCAGGCGGCCGGCAGGCAAGGAAGGGAGCCAAGGCTGGGGCTGGTGACAACACGTTGGCCAAGCTGCAAGTCGAAGCCCTGGAGAGGCAGCTGTTTCTGGAAGCTCCTCGGGCACCTGGAGGACCAGCAGAGTCTCAGGAGGCCAGAGTGCCCAGTGAGGCCCAGCCTGAGGTGGACACCAGGGCAGAGCCCAACCACACGGTGCCCCTCAGCCCACTGGCACCACGGCTGCCTCCCTTGGAGCTGCAGGTCAACCTGCTGACCCCTGAGGACATCCCTCCCACTGTGGTCTCCTTTGGGACGGTGACCACCCCAGGTCACAGGCTGGCCTTGATGGGGGGCCTGGAGGGCTTCCTGGGTAAGATGGTGGAGCATGGGCTGCAGCCCGACATCAAGACCCTCACCATGCTGGCCGAGGTGGCAGAGCCTGGGAGCCCTGCGGACTCCACGCTGCTGACCGTCCTGGACAGATACCACGTGGAGCCCGACGTGACATTCTTCAACACACTGATGAGGAAGAAAAGCAAGCTGGGAGACCTGGAAGGGGCAAAGGTGAGGGGCTCAGGCAGGCCCCAGCTCCCAACTCTTGGCTTACCTGCCTGGTCTGTAGTGTGTTCCCACTGGGTGTCAGCGGCCACGTCTGGCACACTGTCCTGGGCCTGGCCCTGCATGGGGTGCCGGGAACTGGGCAGCACCAGCCCAGCACATGCCCTGTCCTCAGGGGGTTCACAGATTGTGGGGGTGGGCAGACACCAAGTGTGTCGTGCACTGACGGTGGTACAGTTGCTCAGGGACTGTCGGAACACGTGACCGAGCTGTCAGTCACCCGAGAGAGCCTCTTAAGTGCCCGTGATGCCCCTGAGGGTCCTCCCCTTTACAGCCGTGTCCCCGTCATTGTGCTCACTCTGCTAAATGTTCCGACAGCGTCATATCTGTTAGGTGCTCGAGGTTTTGTAATTTGAGAGGTAGAGAAACCGCTCCCATCTGCTGATTCATTTCCCAAATGCCTGTAACTGTTGAGGCTGGGCCAAGCCGAAGGCAGGAGCGAGGAATTCAGTCCAGGTCTCCCATGTGAACAGCAGGGACCCTGGTACTGCCTCTCAAGACCAAAGCCAAGACTCAAAGCCGGCATCTCAAACTGTGCTGGACTAGGTGCCGCCAAGGCTCCTGGGACGGCCAGCAGGTGGGAGGGGCAGGAGCCCGAAGGGACAGCGTGTTGGAGATGGGCAGGCTGGCAGGCAGGACACGTGCAGAGCAGAGCAATTCTAGGAGCCGTGTCCTCTGTGGGCTGCACAGGCCCTAGAGTCTGGAGTGCCCAGCCTACAGCAGGGTGTGATGCGGTCAGCAAGAGCTGTGAGGCCTCGGCCAAGCTGTGCCCCAGGGCCCCCACATCCAGCCAGGGGCTTCATCAGAAGGCTGTCATCAGGGCCCGTGGGTCACAGGTTATGCTCATGCCACGTCTGTCCTCACAGGCGCTGTTGCCAGTCCTAGCAAAGAGGGGACTCATCCCCAACTTACAGACATTCTGCAACCTGGCCATCGGGTGCCACCGGCCCAAGGACGGTCTGCAGCTGCTTGCAGACATGAAGGTGAGGAGACCTGGGCCCGGGTGGGACTGGGTGAGTTGTCCATCATCGTCTTGCTTACCGGGTGATGCCCTGACATTGCAGAAGTGCCAGCTGACTCCCAACACCCACATCTACAGCAGCCTCATCAACGCGGCCCTCAAGAAGCTGGACTACAGCTACCTCATCAGCATCCTGAAGGACATGCGGCAGAGCGCAGTGCCCGTGAACGAGGTGGTCATCCGCCAGCTGGAGTTTGCAGCCCAGTATCCTCCCTCCTTCGACCGGGTATGTGCAACCCCGGCCTCACTCCCAGTCCCGGCCTCTTGGGGATGGGTGTGCCCACGCTTCAGCTGTGCGGCAGCTTCCACAGGAGATCCCGGAGGCCTCAGACCACAGCCTGCAAGCCTGTCCGCATGGCTGTCTTCCCTGGGTGGGCTCTCAGCTCCCACTGGCCTGCCTCTGCCTCAGATGGGCTCTGCCAGCTTTCCACAGGGCGGGCCCCTCCTCCTGGAGGTCCCCCCGAAGTGGCTCCCTCCCCAGGCTGCATACAGCCCTAGTCCTGGGGCTGTGTGGGGACTCCAGAAAGGCCATGGGACACGTGCATCTTTATTCCGTTTTCCTGTGAACTTGTTGAGGTCCCCCTGTTTTGGCTGGTAAGTACACGTGTGTGCGTGACTCCCGCTCACCGAATCCCAGGCATCTGTAGGTGGCTGCCTGATTCGCCTGGCTCCCCGGGTATGCACATCTCTCAGCCCACTGTTTAGTGCACGGGCAGCAGCAGGGCAGACGGACTTGGGTAGTGGCCACTTCTCTTCCTGCTGTTCTGAGGCCGTCAGACTCGCGTTGGGCTTTTGGGTCCATGGCATCAGGAAGAACACAGCCCCATGGGGAGGCAGACAGCAGCAAGGACGTGCCAGGCTGCAGGAGCAGGGGCTCCTGGACAGCCAGACAGGCCAGTAAGTGGCATCTGAACTGCTGGCTCCTCTTCCCTCACGGATTTCTGAGTGTTCTGTTGGTTACACATTCCAAGTATCTGCTATCAGTGGCTGTCTTCACTGTGTAGTGTGGCGCCCACTAGTGGTTGTATTAGGTTCAACAATCAATCACAAGAATACCACAGGCCTAAAAATTAGTGTATTCGTCACACTCACCCATCCTATAACCGTGACTTGTTTGAGATTCTCCCAGGTTTTCGTTTATGTACTTTCAGGCAATACCACATACATTCAAGTCGAGAACTGTTAACAGCTTTTATTACGTGCTAACTCTATCGCTGATACTTTGTTGCCTTTTTTTTTTTTTTTCTGTATACCCCCGAGCAGCTCTCTTGGTATCTGCCTGGTGGGTCTTGTTTCTCCCATTTCCCCACCTCTCCAGGGAGACAGCTGCAGAGGCCTGGAGGTTACTGGTTAGAGGGAGGCGGAGCCTGTGCTGAGGGGGAGGTGCTCAGCAGACAGCAGAGGCAGGACCCAGTGGTGGTGGCTTGAAGTGCTAGGGGACATGTAGGGGGACACGGCCACCACAGCGACATTCAGTACACGGAGACCTAACACCCCCCCACCCCCAGAAGCTTTGCCTGGAATGTACTCCTTCTAGGTACTCTCGTATCCAAGGTGGGAACAGCCTGTCTGCCCGGTCCCCTTACCTGGAGGGGAGGACGGCAGGGCTGGCTTCTGTGGGGTCAGCTGTACCTCACCTGCTGCGATTCTAAGGTCAGACTCCCCTGAGCCCCCTGCTTTCCCGTTACAGTACAAGGGGAAGAACACCTACCTGGAGAAGATCGACGGCTTCCGGGCCTACTACAAGCAGTGGCTAAAAGGGATGCCGGCAGAGGAAACCCCCCACCCTTGGCAGCAGTTTGCGATCAAACCCAAGGGGCACCAAGACGAAGCCACAGAGGCTGACGCGGACCACGGCGCTGGGGCCAGTGAGGAGGGAGTGCCCAGGAGTCCCCTCCCTCCTGAAGACAAGTGAGCAGGGGCTGGCTGTGGCCTCCCACATGCAGGAAAGGCTGCAGCACGTTCAGGCGCTGGTAGGAAGACGCGTGCTGGGCCCAGCTGTCCGGCTCACAGTGGGTCCAAGGGCAGCTCAGCCACCGTCCCTCGTCACCTCGGGCCACTCGCTGTGGCACATGAGCAAAGTGCACTTGCTCGGGCTCCCACAAGGGGGAGCCAGGACCAAGTCCTAGGGGAGTCTGGGCTGTAGTGCCTGGCCCTCCCACTGGGCCCTATGACTGCTGGTCTAAAACAGTGCACACAGGGCCCAAGAGGTTAAAAGGTTTATTTTTACAAATCACAGCTGATGACCCCGAAGCCCTTGCCAGTAGAGGCCGCGCTCCCACTGGGGCCTGGCGCTCTGTGCTCTGCAGGAGCAGCTCCCAGCAAGCGGGCGGCATAAGAGGAAGGAACCGCAGAGTCCGGAGTCCAAGGGCCTCAGCCGGAACAGCCCCGGCAGCCACAGTGCGTGCACTCGATGATGCGACCCTGCAACAGAGGACGGCCGAGGCTGAGACGCTGCGCTGCCACCCACAACCCCTGCACACACACACGCACACACAGCCACCCTCTGGGCAGCTCCCTGCAGGACACAGCTCAGAAACCTCCCGACAGCCCTGGATGGGGAAAAGCTGATTCCCACACAAACACTCAGGTGCTGCTGTTGGCACGGAAGTTACATGGATGGGGTATATGCATTTATGCAAATTGAATATATGCAGTTGTGGAGAAGAGAAAAACTGGAGTCTTCTCATTGCTAAATCAGTGTGGCACAGCCCGCAGTGAGTGGATACAGGCCTGTGGCTGCTTTGGGGCACACTGCCAGGGACCTCAGGCCGCCTTTGAGCTGGGAAACTTGCTGGGGGGGGGGTGGGGGTGGCAAAGGACAACACTTGTCCTCCAGGATGGGTTGGCCTGATGTCTGGCCCAGGACATGCCCAGCAGACAGAAGGCTCACGAGCAGTGGTTTCTGTTTACTTTTTCAAACTTCTGGAGGCGCAAGACTGTCATCTAAGCAGACAAAATCCTCTGGGGAAATCTAGCTCGACTCAAAGCAGCCTCTGTCAGAGGGGCCAGTGTTGTGTGGCCCATCGGGTTAAGCTGCCACCTGCAATACCAACATTCCATGTGAGTGCTGATTCCAAACCCAGCTGCTCCACTTTTGATTCAGTTCCCTGCTAATGTGCCTGGGAGGCGGCAATGATGGTTCAAGTGCTTGGAGCCCTGTCACTCACACGGGAGACCTGGATGGAGTTTTAGGCTCCCGGCTTCACTGGCCTAGCCCTGGCTGTTGGGCCATTTGGGGAGTGAGCCAGTGGAAGATCTCGCTCTCTAACTCTGCCTTTCGAATAAAATCAATCTTAAAGAATCAATAAGGTAGCCAAGGTTAGGGCCCTAGGCTGAGGCAGCTCCTGACGTCTCATGGGGCCTTCTGTTGCTCTGCTACCATCAGCAAACAGCTGGCTCAGCACCTTTTGGTGGGGAGGGGCCTCAGCCTGCCCCCGACTGCTCGGCAGCCTGTCCTTGAGCTTCCACACAGGCAGGACATGCAGCTACGTGCGGAGGTCAAGCCCGAAGTGCTCACGGCAGCGGACAGGGCTCATGTGATGAGGCAGCTGCGTGAGGCTGGGAAAGAAGACCACACCAGGAGATGGGTGGTCCGGCCTGACTCCATGGACCATCCTGTCTGCCCAGGGACGGCACAAACAGCCCCTCGGGGGCATGGCCAGGAATCCTCCCCCTTAGCCTAGTGCCTGCCCTAATTCTGGTCACCCGATGTAGCCCTCCCCCCACCTGGAGGATGGTATCGCCACCACCATTTCCAAGTATGGAAAGGTGGAGTTCATTGTGGCTTCCAGACCCACCACACACAACCACTGCCGAACTCCACCTTGCACAGTTCCCTCGACAGACGGGGACAGCCAGGGGACACCTAGTGACAAGACTACATTCCAGCCCAACCATACAACATACAGTGCCTTAGGGTCAACTACACAGGACCTTGAACTGAAAACAGCACCAAACTCAGTCGTCAAGACATTACCACTTCCAGCTTGCTTTTGGGAACCCGGCAAATGCAGTTTGTCCCAAAATTGGTGTCCCGTGTCTGAATGCACCGCAGGCAGCACAAATTCTCGTAACCTTGCTTCTTCCACTTCGCAATCAGGTTTTTGTCCGCGTAGCCTTCTTTAATACAATATTCGTAGAGTTCTGTCAAAAGACGGGGAAGCGTCATCAGACCACGTTGTAACAGCCTTCGTCCCTCCCCGTGTCAGCAGTGAGAAAAACTGGTGCTTGCTGCATTGGCAAGGATCACCACCATTTCCCTCAGGAACCACAGAGGCTGCCCGAGCTCGAAATGCCAAGGGAGGGTCTGCCGTCACCTCTGCTTATGGCTTTCCGCTTGTAAAAGAGGTCGAAGATGTAGCGCGTCTTCTGGTGGTGGATCCTGAAGATGGGCCACAGAGACTCCACCTTCCGCTTCCCTTCGTGAGGCTCTGTTTCCGCTGCGGGGAGAGAGTCGGGTGTGAGGGGCTGGGCAAGCAGGACGGGGTGGGCTTTACATGCATGTAGATCAAGACCCACGACCAGTGCCGCTGTCTGCCCAGCACGGCTGCCACCAAAGTGAGGGTCAGTCCCAGGTGCTGGCAGATGGGGATGCTGGGTGGTGCAGCCGCCGTGGTAGTGGTGCAGTCAGAGGCTCCACCTAGGTCACCACGTGACCCAGCACCAGCTTCATTCCTGCCTGAGTCCACACATGAAAACACGCTTCACACGCAAACCTGTACGCGAGGCTCCTACAAGCCAAGGAGACACAGCCCAAATGACCGAACAAATGACCGAACCCCACGACGGACTGCGATTCAGTCACAAAGGGGAGTGAAGGTCTGAGACGGCACAGAGCTGGCCCTCGAAATGTAAGACTACTGCACTGGGGAGCGCACGACTAGATGCACTCCATGGCCAGCAGATACTTCCGAAGGGTGAATTTTATAGTAGTTGATTTATAGCTCAATAAAGATATATTAAAAAAAAAACTAAGTTGACATGGGTTGTTAAATTTAAAACGTCCTTTTAGGAAATCTGTAGAAGTGAAATTGACACTTTGAGAAGCAATGACTTCAACAGCCCTTGTCTTGACTGTCAAGGAACAGTTTTTTTATTTTTTTCCTTAATGGAGAACGGGACTGGGAATGGGAGAGGGAGGAGGAAGTTGGCTGGGAGGGTGGGTATGGTGGAAAGAATACTATATTCCTAAATTTGTACTTATTAAATAAAAGGTGTCTTTGGGAAAAAATGTCCTTTTAACTAGATAAATTAGAAAACACAGGTTAAGAAAATTAATGATACCCATCATTAACACCTGATCTATTATTCCAGACCTGTTTTTTTTTTCTGAAGTCAGGGAGAGACCAAGAGAGATCCTCCATCTGTTGGTTCATTCTCCAAATTGCTGCAGTGGCCAGGGCTACATCAGGTCAAAGCCAGGAGCCTGGAACTCCATCCTGGTCTCACACGCAGGTGGCAGGGCCCAAGGTGCATTAGCAGGGAGCTGGATCGGAAGTGGAGCAGCTGGGACTCAAAAACTCACTGGGATGCCAGTGTAGCAAGCAGCAGCTTAACCCGCTGAGCCACAGTCCAGCCCCATTCCAGACCCGTTTCTACTACCCAGGTAATTCTGCTTCTGCAGATAGGTACTCCTGATTTCATTAGCCAGCTGAGCTCCTTGAGGGCTGAGAAAAGCCAGAACAAACTGCACTGGTCTGGAGGTCGTGAGTGCACCAGGCTCCTCCTTCCATGAGCACCGCATCTGGTGGAGCTCACCTGTGCCAAGTCGACCCTGCTCTCCCACTGCCTCCCAGTGTTAGGGCACAGGAGAAACGCAAGGAGTGGTCAAGCAGACACCTCCTTCTCCAACTTTTAAGCCATTCGTTATGTGGCATTTATTTATTTGGGAGGCAGAGCTACAGAGGGAGACAAGTCTTCATCTGCTAGTTCACTCCCCAAATGGCAGCAATGGCTAGAGCTGCGCCAATCTGAAGCCAGGAGCTTCCTCTGGGTCTTCCATGTGAGTGCAGGGTCATTAGCAGGGAGCTGGATCAGAAGAGGAGCAAGGCCAGCGCCGCAGCTCAATAGGCTAATCCTCCGCCTTGTGGCGCCGGCACACCGGGTTCTAGTCCCGGTCGGGGCGCCGGATTCTGTCCCGCTTGCCCCTCTTCCAGGCCAGCTCTCTGCTGTGGCCAGGGAGTGCAGTGGAGGATGGCCCAAGTCCTTGGGCCCTGCACCCCATGGGAGACCAGGATAAGTATCTGGCTCCTGCCATTGGATCAGCATGGTGCGCCGGCCACAGTGCACCGGCCGCGGCGGCCATTGGAGGGTGAACCAATGGCAAAGGAAGACCTTTCTCTCTGTCTCTCTCTCTCACTGTCCACTCTGCCTGTCAAAAAAAAAAAAAAAAAAAAAAAAAAGAAGAGCAGCAGCCGGGACATGAACCGGCGCCCAAATGGGATGCCAGCACTGCAGGCGGAGGCTTAACCTGCAGACCACTGCGCCAGCTCCCCAGTATGCGGGGTTTATAATTCAACAACTGCATCCTGTGATTAAAGATGAAAGCTGAAGACTCAAGAAGTGCACACTGTGTGGCTACCTCGGGGGAGGCCCTGCTGGGTGCCCAGGACACGGCAGTGGGTAGACACCTGAACATGGCAGACTTGACAAGTCCAGATCCTCCGACCAAAGTCCTGCATCAGGAGCTGCCACCCCGCGCCCTTCACTTCCGCACCTGTGCCGGTGCCGAGCCCACGTTCACACACGGTAAGACGGGCTCCAGGCTTCGGCGTCTCCCCTCCCCTACATCGCTGCTACATCCCCAGAGCTCCTTTCCTAACAACGAATCCGAACGTCCAGTGCCACTCATCACTAGGAGCAACATAAACGAGGTCTCAAACCTGCTTACCACAAATGGGAAGGCAAAGAAACGCTGCACGGCTACACAGTTAAATAAAGGTAGGAGAAGGATAAATGTCCACGTGGCTAAATACAAGGTAGGGCCCTCCCTCCTCAAGAGTCACTTGAGGGCGTGCCACAGCGGGTTAAGTCACCGCTTGCAACACCAGCGTCCTGTATCCAAGTGCCAGTTCAGGGCCCAGCTGCTCTGTTTCTGATCCAGCTTTCTGCTGATGAGCTTGGGAAAGTCGTGGAAGATGGCCCAAGTGCTTGGGCCCCCGCCACCTACATAAGAGACCTGGCTACTGGCTGCAGCCTGGACCAGCCCTGCCTATCACAGCTCTTTGGGGAGCTGGTTGCGCCTGGCTCCAGCGTCCTGCTAATGCGCACCCTGGGAGGCAGCAGGTGACGGCTCAAGTACCTGGGTGCCTGCCACCCACATGTGAAACCCAGTTCTTAGGTTTAGCCTGGCCCAGCCCTGGCTGGGGGGGGGGGGGGGGGGGTAGATGGAAGACCTTCGTCTCTCTGCCTTTCAAATAAGCGAGAATACTTTTTTAAAAACCGAAAAAAAAAAAAAATCATAAAGCCTGAAAGTGGGAAATGTAGCATTTCCAAGTACAAACATTTTGTATTACTAAATACACAGCTAACCGAAACAGTGATTATCTGATCTGCATTCTCCAAAGCCAAAAACTTGTTTTGAGGGCCTTTTCATTAACGTTTAGTTTCCTACACGTACAGTACTCCTGAGTTACTAAGCCAACAAAACACGCCCGTGTCGGGAGAGCACACGCAGGCCTGCCCCGACCCTGACCCAGCGCACCCAGACAGGAGCACCCCCACTCACCTTCTCTCATCTTCTGATCCAATTCATCCAGCGTGGGCTCTATCAACTCCCAGCCATCCGGAGGGGCTTTGCGGCTTCTTTTGACTTTAGGCATGTTTGCCCAGAAGATAATCTGCAAAGATCTCCGGTTGGGGAAAGACAGAACGAATGGGTTTCTGGGTCCCAGGCCCCCAAAGGCCGTCTGCATCCATGTTTCCTTCCTCGGGGGAGCCAGGGTACTGGCTCAGCGGTTCAAATCCTAGTTCTGCTACTTATCCAGCGTCAGCAACCCACCCTCCCTACATCTGCTTCCCGACCTGTGAAAGGGGGATGACGGAACCTACGGACGGGGTCCCTGGCCAGACTTGAACCCACCTGTTGTCCCTAAAAACCGAAGTACCTTACGGTCTGCTTCCCAAGAGGGGCAGGAAGGCCTCCGGTCTCTGGGGTCACGGGCTCAGATCCCTGCGCAGCTCTGCCCACCGCTCCGCGACTCTGGGGAGGCCCCTTTCCCTCAGGGTCCCCTGAAAATGAGGGCAGGGGATCAGTCCCTTGCAGACACAGAAAGGCACGGCCCCCACAAAAAGCCAGTCCAGAGACCTAACTAGTAAAGCGTTTTTTTTTTTTGTTTGTTTGTTTGTTTGTTTTTTCCTTTCCCCAAAGCCGGCACTACCTCCCAGCCGGCAAAGAGAAGGCAAGGGAGTCGCCCACTCCCCTCCCCCCAGTTCATTCGCTGCCTCCCTCTGCGAGCTCCCCCAGCAACCTCGCAGGCTACGAGGCAGACAGGGGCGCGGGCTCCCCCCAGCCCAGTCGGCGGTCTCCGGCCTCCGCGGCCCTGAAGCTACAGAGGGACCGACTCCGGCCGCGGCCCTGACTAAACAATCGCTTCGCTATGACCCGGCACAACCTCAGGGCCTGGGGTGTGGGGGGCGGCCCGAGGCGGCCCCCGCGGGACGGACAGGTGGGAGCCGGCCTGACCCAGAGGTGCCGCGGGAGAGAGAAACATCAGCGCCGGGGCCTGCAGGAACAACTCGTATAAAGGGCCCGCGTCTGAATCGGCCTTAGGAAAATAATTAATATTTAGGCACAAAACGCTGCCGAGAGACAAAATGGCACGAAAGGAAGCCTAGAAGCAAGAAACAAAACCTCCATTTACCATCCCCACGGCAGAATCAACAAGGCGCTAGATGCCCGCTTTGCCGCTTGGTCCAGAGACCCGAACCCATCCCAGTCCAACCACTCAGATGGCCACGGGGCCGGCGAACGACCCCGGCCCCTGGACCCCGCCGCTGCCAAGGTCCAGCAGTAGCAAACACTCACCGGAAGCGCCCGCGCCACGACCCGCGGCTTCTCTGTAGCCTGCTTCCGCTCCTCCAAGGATCGCCGACGGATAAGGACCCCGCGGAGCCCCGCCCAGTCCCGCGCGGAGATGACGTCATCTTAGGTGTCCGCAGTGCTGCCTGAATAGAATTTCAGAGCGGCCATTACCTTTTGTCCTCACTTCCTGGGGAGTGGCCGGCAAGGCTACGCGTCTTGCTGGACGGGGAGATTGGGGACGCCGTTGCCCGGCAGCGCGCGGCGGAACCTGGACTCAGGCAGCACCCCGGACAGTCCGCCTTCGTGCTCAGACCTCCGTGAGGTCCCGGCACTCGCGGCGGCGGCGGCGGCGGCGGCGGCGGGGGCGGTAGCGCGCAGAGGGCGGGGCTAGGCCGGGCGGAAGAAGTCGAGCCCAATTCGTTTCCGGTTCCGGTGTCAGTTCGAGGCGCCGCCGCCGCCGCCGCCGCAGCCGCTGGAGCCGCGATGCCTAAAGGTGAGGGGCGGGTGCGCGTGGCCCGGGGGCCTCGAGGGGCGGCCAGCGTCCGGCTCCGGCTTCTCCTCAGCCCGCAGGCGTCTCGGCGGGCGGCGCAGAGGGCGGCCGTCCGCGCCGGCTGAGGGCCAGGCGTGGGCCTCGGCGCCCAATTGTCCCGATGGGAGGACCGTGGCGGCCCACAGTCATTCCCTCCGGGGATCGCAGGGGATTCGGAGGCGCTGGATGGCCGCCGACGTGGAAGACCCAGCCCCGGGCGCCCGTCTGAGCCCGGAGCTGCCTCGCGTGTTTGAGGCTGGCGGGGGACTGAGTCACCGCGTCCCGCGCTCGTGCCGCGGCCGCCTGCGTTGGGCCGTGAAACGTGGTCTCTCCTTTGTAGGACCTAGCACGGCGCCCTTGAGCCTGGCGGACCGGGCTTGGCTCTCCCCAGCTATTTGGTGGCGGCTGGACGTGCGCTC